AGACTTTCTTCTGGCTACAGGAGACTCTCTTCACCTCTAGAACAAAGTCTTTGGGGCAGAAGCAACAAGAGTCTGTGCAAAACCATTATAACGCTGTTCAATCAATTTTGTGAAGGGAGACACATAATGGGATGGTAATGTGTGAACACAACGAAACAGAAAGGCTTTTGCTCCTCGACAAATCTTTGGAGTCGCTGCTAAAAAGACTTTTTGTGCAAAATGGATCTATAACAATTGCATAAGGACAGGGAGAGAGAAAAAATGAGGAAAGACAAATTGCCCTCTGGCAGATTCATGAAGGTGACTTGAAGGAGCTGCTCCATTTTAGCACAAATTTCCTCCTCCTCCTCCTCCTCCTCCTCCTCCTCCTCCAGCCCCTACCGGCCTAACAAACGATTGTTAGCAAAGAGACGCTTGCTTCAAAGTGCTGCTCACACCGTTGGTCTCTGCTGTGATCCTACAGCCACTAAAAGCCTGTTTTGGTAACAGAAGGATGTTGCCACGTTCATGCCAACTAGTGGGCCTGCCTAATCTTCCTTTGCCATACTGAGTTTGGAAAGGATCATTAATTGTTTTAGAGGGGCTGACCCTTCTCCACACGACCCCCCCACCCTCCAACCCCCCTCAGGGCAGCAGTGGCGCCAGCTCGGTGCAAAATGAGAAGTTGTTTTGTTTTTTCCACGGCTAGAGAACGAGGACTCACATGGTATCCCTATGGAGCAGCATAGTGGGGAAATAGAAAGTACAACAAAACATTATACAAACACACACACACACACATGCACTCTCACACACACTTACATGTGCATGCTTGCACCCATCCTTAGTAACACACAGATCCACCCATCTGAACTCACATGTTATTCTGAAACCAAAGGACCAACGGCATGCACTGCTCATGGAGAGTGTGTCACAGAACGTGTGTGAGAAAACCAAGACTCCGTTAGAGATTCTGTGCTTCTCATCTAACCATTCATTTAAATCCAGATTTCCAAATTGACCCCAGCACTCTGTGGGATTAGGGATTCGCAGTGTCAGATATCCGTTCTCGTAGTTTTCTCCTGGTATAATTCATATGGAACTTCTGTCTTTAATAATGAGCTGCTAAAGATCCAATAATTACAATAATCTCAATGTTTAGGCAAGACTGTCATTATTCAATTTCAAGCAACAGTTCAACATTTTGGGAAATACATTTGCTTTCTTGCCGAGAGTGAGTAGATCAATACCACTCTCATGCCTGTACCGTAGATCAATATATAGCTAGATCAAGTGACCTTAGCTTAGCATAATGACTGGAGACTGCTAGCCTGGCTCTGTCCAAAGGGGGAAAAAATCCTCTAAAACTAATCAATTCACAGCTTTCTATCTTTGTTTAATCCGTACAAGTGTAAAAACTGCAAGTTGGCGTTTCAAAGTCGGCTAGGTGCCAAACTATTTCTGGGCTGGGACGAGTATCTTCCTGGAGTTTCGGCTGGTTTCATGTCTTTGTGCTAAGCTGAGCAGTTGCTGTCTTCCAGCGACATGTTTGCTATACAAACACAAGAGTAGTAATTCTCAGTAAGAAAGTTAAATTAGCGTCTCCCCCAAAATATCGAACTACTAGGCTGTGAATAAGAAAGAGAGACAGCAGAAGACATGGAAAAGTATAATTTACAGTAACCTGCTGTGGTATAAAAACCGGACCATGTGTTGTTATGAACATGGTCCAACATTAGTTGAGGTGACACCAGTAACGCCTCACTGTGTTCCAGAGGAGCTGCTGTCAAAGGCCAGCTGCTCTTTCCACTGCTGGTTCAACCTTTAAAGTTTAAACCCACCAACCAACAGCTGAGGCTCCGAGAGGTGCGTGCGGGGGGGGGGGGCGGGCGTTAACACAGGGTTGGGGGGGGCAGTTAAGAAGAGAGGAAGGGAGGGAAGGTACTTAGTAAAAGCAGGTGATGTGAGCTGCAGGAGGACACTAAGCATCTGTAGTCAGGGCCTGGCTGAAAGCCTTTGTAGAGCTGATGCTTGACTTTTACACTGCAGCACATGTACAGCTTCATATTGGGTCTGACAAGAACCGCTGCTACAGATCCTCCACTCTCCACCCACCCTACTCAAGTCCCCCTTCCACTCCAACTACGCACAAATGACTTTGAAACATCAAAGCTGGCATTAACGTCTCATTTCCCTATGCAAATGCAAAACGAGAAAGGGAAAAAAAAAAAAAAAAGCTCTTCAATTCTCCCTGCCTCTTTCATTTTCACTGGGAATCGTTGCTGCCCCCTTGAGACGAAGCCCGATGCGCAGTTTTGGGGAGAAAACGGGTTAGGGGATCCTGGGGGCTGCTCTGCATTACCAAAACAAACCATTGAGCAAACAAACAATTAGACTCATGAATTATGAACAAGCCATCTAAAATAGCAGTAAAAACAAGGAGTGGGGAGTTGTGGAGCGATCGCTGAGCTAACGAACGTATGTCAGGGTGTTTTTAAAGCAGTAGTGGAGTACATGGCTTCCTTAACGCATGTGCAGTATTTACATATATGTAACCTATCCTCATTCCATCTTAACTCTTTGGACCAGTGCAGTTGCGTAACTGAAAACAAGGTAACAAGGGAGTGAAGGAAGAAAGGTGTCTAGTAATCCACAAGAATGTGCATCAGCCATTTTGTTTTCAACCTGTCCCCAGCAACATCCATTATTCACAACCCTGTGTTTACCTCTCACAGACGCGCACAGTCCATGCAGCAATGATCCAGGAGGATATACTGAACACCAGCAGAACAGTTCCTGGACAGATGGTCATGAGGGTCTTCATGACAAAGCGTGTGTTGAAGTTGATCTTGTTGAGGGCACCGATGCTGCGAGATGAAGCGTCCGTGAACAGCTTGCTGTGGAGTAACATGACCCTGCCTATCAGGTAGAGTCTCAGGAACATGGGGATGGAGAGGATGATGTCCACGTCGGCATCGGCCACAGACGGCGTGTAGGTAAAGGCCAGTCGCGCCGTCCAGGTGAAGACGTACTGGCCCGGGATGGGATGGATGGCACACACCAGCAGCTCCAGCACGATGAAGAAGATCCGCTCATACGTCATGGCTATCCTCCAATCGTCCGCACCATTGTCGACCATAAACAGCTGCAGAGAAACAGACAGACACCAAGGACTCGGTTTAAACTAAATATTTGTCATCCTATTCAACACCTTCAAATTGTTAATCATTACAACCACGTTCAATCACACCCACATATTGAAATTCTAGTCAAGATCCGAAGGAGTCATGCTCAATCAGATTAAAACGTGTATAAAATGAAGGAGAAATTTTGCATTTGGCGTAATGCTGTTGTCATAAAAAAAAGTGGAAACCAAGATTTGAATATTTCATTTAATTCAAATGTGATAAGTCTGATGCAGCTTCATCAAGCAGAACAACAACAGAAATAACGTAAACCAAGATGGCTGCAAAGAAAACCCCGGATAATATCAGGAGTTTGATTATTATTGATGATTTGTTTTTGGCTTATATTTATTGTTCAAGACAACTTAAGGATATAAGTTTGATTTTAAAAAAGAGGTGCTATGTATTAACAGTGTTATAGCTTTCTAATTGTCGAACGAACTAGCCTGAATGTTGTGACTGTGTGAATGCATTTGTGTACATTCCTCTTGTGTGTACCATACGTTATAATACATGTATGTCATGAATGTGTATATTATTGTGAGCATACATTCATTTTTCATAGCAAAAACTTTGTAGCACAATAAAAGCATTATTTCAGTAGTTTTTATCAAGGCCCAACAGTCAAATGATAAATCCCCATTATCATCATCATTATATTCTTCCCAACACTGTTACCAAAAGCTGCCGGTATAATGAATAAAATAACATTTTTATGTGTTAAACTCACCTGGATTTCCCGGGCATGGTACATTATTATAAGACCAAGCAATATAACAGTGGAAAGGCTGATAAGGCATTTCAGTGCAAATGAGTATGAAGATTCCTATGGTGAGAGAAAAGCACAGAGAAAAGAGATTAGAAATAGCCTCATGATTTGAACACAATTAACACATACACAAGAACATCTTATAGGAATAACGACATAAACTGTTCATTGAATGCATTTGTATATTTGGCCTCAATAGATGGCAATAGTGACTGCTCACTATACAACTAATGATTTCTGTCTACAGCAACATCAAGGTGGAGCCAGTTAATAGTTTTAAGTTTTCGGAAATCAGCATCACAGACAACCTGACAGTCATCACACGTCTCCATCCTGTTGAAGAGAGCTCAAAAACAGCTGTATTTCTTGAGGAAACTTAATATGTCAAAATCCCTGAGCCAAGTTCTTGTTAACTTTTAGGAGGAGCAATAGACAGCATCCTGACTGCAAACATTAAAAACTGGCATGAGTTGTGCACGGCCCGGGGCAGGAGGGCTCTACACTGTGTGATCAAAACTGCCCAGAACATCGTTAGTACCCATTTACCAGTGTTTTTCTTATGTAGTATAATGGGACTACAAATTGCATTTTGCTGCGCAACCCCGTTGTACAATGACAATAAATGAACCTTGTATTTTACTGCTTAGCAACACGGTGAAAGGAGGTAAAGAAGAATATATATTGTTACTCAGAAATACAAATCTGGAAGTGTTGTGTTACATTGAAAACAAATTATTCTAATGTTAAACGAAAAGCATAAATATCCAAATATAAACATGCATACACATAAGCATGCCCACAAAAACTACAAACGCTTATACTCTCACACACACACAAGTAGACACACATGCACACATAGTACTCATTAGCTTAAATGTCTAAGTGAGAGCAGATAATGGGGTTTTGCACATAAACAGCGCAGTCAGGATGTTGCTAAACAATGCAGCTGCAGGTGTAGGTGCAGCCCGATATTATCTATGGATGCTATTCCCCGCCATCTAAACTACCAATTAATCAAAGCCCAGCACTAACAGGGGGACTTTCCACTTAATGGTAGGTGCAGAAGAGGCAAGGCTACCATTAGCAGGGGGGCCAGCACAGTGAGTGCTGCTGGTGATAAATAGGCCAGCTGGATGCCAGCGCTGCAGTGTTGTGTTCGAGTGCATGTGTGCGTGTACACAGGGACCATAGATCTAGGAAATTAGAACCTGTACAACACAAGTTCCCCCCCTCTATGTTGATCAAATGCCCTTTGATAAATCAATTTAACAGCTATGGTGTAAAAATGCACGCTGCAGCAGGCTAATGATCGTAGGGTTGTTATTATAATAACAACAGCAGCAAATGACAAGAACAACAACTGGAAATATCGTCTATAATCGTCAGTGTGATAGCAGGGAGAGCTGCTCAATATTAGTCTGTCCTTCGCTGGTCCATATTACAGAATGTATTTTTAGCTATCAACTAGATTGCTTTGCCCCTCAGGTCGACGACATGTTCTCAAGACATTCTAATGTCTGAAATTGTTTTGAGAAGTCCCCGGTGAAATAACATTAAGTAAACCAATTAATCCACCTACCAGAGGTTCAAGGATGTTTCAGTCCCAGTGCTCACTGCCTCTTAACACGTTTCCCTCCTTCAGGGCTCAGAACACCTCGGCTAAGCCTCAAGTGTCTGCTATGCCATGTGACATAAGATGGAAAATGGACCATCCCCAGCACATGTTACCTGTCTGATGTGGGAGGGGGAGCTGCTGTGCCACTCAGATACGGGAGGTCATTTTCATTCAAGCTGAGGTCAGCTTGATGAATGGACTAAACCCCACTCACAGTAACACAGTCACAGACAAACCTACTACTTTCCCAAAGCCCCATAAATCATCCTATAGATTACCACGCCGACTTTATCGTACATATACACACACACACACATACACACACACACACACACACCTATGTGTAATCAAAAACATATTTACAAACTCAAATACATCTCACACAACTCTAAAAAAATAGAATCTATCCGTTACGACAGGAACATTCCAGTGGTTTTGTATGTTTTAGTCCAATAAATGCACTTAATGCTGAAGCATACCAAAGGCTTTTAAATGCCAAACATTTCTCAGCTGACATACAACATTTCTGAAAGTATATCATGAATGAATCTCAAACTTTGGATGCCTTTTTTGAAGCTAAATTAGAGACTCCTCAGCTGTGAATGGTTGTTTTTCTACGTGTGCGTTGGAATTTTGCCATTTGAGCACTAAGAGGAGGCAGAGGAACCTGATTCTTTTCACATGTTATCCGTTGCATGTATTTCTTTTCAGGATATAGTGACAGTTTGTAGCTTTAAAGGATGTTATACAATCAAAAAGCTCCTTTCCCTACAGTAGGAAGCTGTGATGTTCTCTGAAAAGACACTGAAGCTCTCTTGTTCTCTGGTGGTTTGCAAACGAAGAATTAGCTCGACCGCTACCCACTGATGTAGTGGAGACTTCATCTGTATTACAAAACAACTTGTCCCAGATGTTAGATCTTAAAATAGTACCCATCACAGACATGTTTCAGGATTCTGCAAATCCATTTCAGGACATAGTAAAATAAATGAAAACCAATGGCTGCCTGAAAGGTAGTAAATAAATGCAAAATGCTGTGCTGTGCTTTATACAATAACCTGCAACAATGTTAAATCTTGACGGTAAAGCTGAAAAGTGAAAGGGATCACTTGCACGCTTAGACAATCATCACCCAAATGTGTGTTTTAGCATCTTTCAGCTCTTTTGTTTTTGGTTATACAGCCTACAACTTTAGTTTGGTTCATTCTTTCGTCAACATATTTTCTAGTCACAACAGGTAAATGTTTTTAGTTACAAGCTCTTATAAACTCACTGCCCATTGTTACGACGGTCCATTGTTCCAAAACCTCAACAGTCTGAGGAATGTACCATTTGACCAAAAGCACATTTGTTCGACAGCCCGTGCTCCAGAAAACAAACGCCAATTGTTCTGAGGGAGCATTGCTCCAAAAGTACACATTGTCCCTTCAACAAACGGAAGCACATAGCTAATTATTATTTAGAATGACTTCATCGGACATCAATATTTTATAAGTAATCAGCCGTCGGTATAATGGCATGACACCCTGTACGCTGCCTATCCAGAACAAGTGAGGGATAGCAGATTAGCAACTAGCCCGGAGAATAGGCAAAGTTAACAACTTAGTCATATCAACTTTACAGCGCTATAAGTCAAACTCTTGTGATCCTCTACTGGTAGGATTTTGAACCCAAGTGATCAACAATGCTTAACTATATATATGAGATTTGTAGTTATTGGGCTCAAACATGGACAACCACCTATAAAGTCCTGTTTATTTTTTATGTAAAAAAGGTGTTCTTATTCCCTTTAAACACCTGTTCTGTGACCTCTGCTATACTGCAGCGCACAGCAATGTCAGCTCCCAAGTAAACAGCCTTGTAAACATTGTGGCAGAAGCTGCTCTCAGTGCGCTGACTGAACTATATTCTTCCCAAAATACCCTGACACAGCAGAAGTGATTGGCTGATACAGAGGGACAACAAAAGGTCAAGGGGTGTTGACCTGGTCACCATGGCCCGACACCATACTGCCCTGCTGATGTTCTTGTTTAAGAGTCCCACACGTTCCAAACGTGTGCCATGTCGTCTCTATTCTTATCTGCTAAAAGTTAAAAGATGCTGTTGGCCAACTGGAACGTCATTCCCATCTTTTATTCCTATTGACCTTTTCTCTTCATCTCTGCATCTCTCGAGCTCTGCCTGAATCTCCATATATCTATCTCTCTTTATTCCGTTTCCTCTGCGATCCTCCTCTCCATCTCCCTCTCCTACTGTGAGCTCGTGATTTCAGATGCTGGTGTCACAGGGAATGACAGACAGCCACAATGGCTCTGCTAGTGGAAGCAATCCTTTGGCTAAACTCCATTCTGATGCCAACAAGGAAAAAGTAGATATTTAAGAAAAAGCAACTAGTGACAAAACCAGGCCTTTAATCGAGAAATTACTGAATAGAAAAATGTACCTCCAAACGATACACTGTTAGTCAAAGATCACATGATAATTAGTATTTGTGCACTATTTCCATCACCTTTGTTAGGTAACGTATGTCAGCGTCTGGGCTAATAATCACGCTTCATAAATGTGACAGCTGCCAACCCCGCACAAATCACAATTTAACAATAGCAGTGACAACACACAAAGCTCCCACTCATGCATCACACACAAACACACGCACACGCATGCACAACCTACCTTAGTGTAAACCCCCCATGACAGTTCCGTCTCCGTCACCATGACAACAATCCCAAACATCCCAAAGATGAGTGCGTAGTCGCTGAGTCGCTTCCGCTTCTCGAACAGCGCCCTCCGGTGGCCGAGCCTGTAGCCGATGTCCCTGTTTTTCTTCTGCGGCGCCCTGCCTCCGCCCTGCCCGCTGCCCTCCCTGACCAAGCTCTCGTTGGACGCCTTGCTGGGGTCTTCGCCACCGTTGCCTTTGGACACCACCACCTCCAGGCCAGAGCTGTGCAGCGTCTGCAAGGGCTGGGTCTCCGAGTCGAGCTCCGCAAGGTTGCGGCGCGACGAGGACGCCAGGCTGCCCACTAGTGGTCTCACCACTCCGCCATTGTACTTGCAGGTGTTCATGGCTATCTGAGGGAGTCGGCCGCTGCTCTCGGAGAGGGAGGCCTTGGATCCAGCATGGCTCACTTTCTTCTGCTCAGTAGTGCCCTGTGAAGCAGGAAGAAGAGTGATAAATACAATACTATCACAACAAAACTGTCAGAAGGTGGAAGAGACGCATACAGGTTTATGCTTTAAATAGCATTGATGTGGGAGTTACATCTCTGTGGCTCTGGAGAGTGCACAGAGAGGGAAGGATCTTGCAAAACAATTGTGGTTATAAAAGCAGACAGATTTAGTGCTCAGCAGGACATGTGGCCAAAATGTACAGTACGCACCAAAATATCAACAGTTCTTGTTTGAAAGTCTCAAATACTGAGAGCAGGTAACAGAGACGGGGTTGTTCAATTCGATTTTAAGTCTGTGTTAGGTAAAAAACAAGGTAATCCCAATCTTACAACTGCCTAAAACTGACTATATTTCACCGTATGTTTTCATCTTTTCCTTAAAGAAAATGGCATCAAAATTGGATGGCTCAAAAATAAATAAATAATGGATGGACTTTGATGTATAAATAAAACCATATAACCAATAGTGGGACCTACAAAGTGCAGAAAATTGAATCTTTGCACTGCACAAATTTAGATATGAATGATTAATGCCCGCCGTGACCCTGTTTCCTATCAGAGAAACACTCTTCCCCTGCAGAGATTAGAAGTAGTTCTGCCCAAAAGAGAACGAAGAAGAAGAAGAAATGTGGACTTTGTCAGGCGTACCACAGAGACCAGATGTGAGGTTCCCCCTAAGTGGGGAAACAAGGAAATCCATTTTCTTTGAAATTCAAAGAATTGTGTATACTGTACATAATGTCTGTTGAGGTTAGGGGCAACTTCGGGGCAAGTTCAGAAAAACAGAGTGAACCAACCAGGTCTTCACATATAAACATCACGTTCAATAAATAAATAAATAGCAGTATAGTATATTGTGTATATCATTTCTAACTTGAACGAGATAGGAGAGAATACATTTAACTTTTTTAAAACTCATTTTACTTCTTTATCACATGTACAAAATGTTCCACTTTTTCTTTTCTGACCGGATGCCGTGCAGACTGTTCTCTTCTTGCATTGAGTCTTCTATCATGTCTGCTCCTCTTGGCAGACAGGAGCGAGTTTCTGTCCCGGTTACGCAGACAGAAAATGTTCAATCCATGCAGACGCTGCAGAGCAGTCACCCCAGAAGCATCTATCTGCCTGTCTATCCTCTGCCCTTCAGAGACTCGGGCAGATTATCATAATGTGTTATGAAAACTTCACATGGAACAGTGCTTTTTCCGAAACAAGTCGGGGGTGTGTGATAGCACTGCTGGCCCTTTTTATTAGCCTTGACAAAGCATGCTTAATGCCTTTAAATGTGCTAGTGGGAATAAAGAAGGGCGGCCCCTAATGGAAATTTACTAACTCCAGTCTTGTGATGTTATCGTGTTGCGCATATTGTGGCTCCATGAGAACAGGACTAAAGGTTAAGGATTAGTGCAGCCATAGTGTTTCTAATCCCCTTTTCTATATTAAATTGCTTTTTAATCTGCCATTAGGACCCCTTTAGACCTTTCAAGACAGTGCAGTGAGTGAACTTTAGGTTTGAATGACAGGAAATACTGTAGAAAAAGATGCTGATATGGCAATAATGGTCAAGCTGTTCGCCTTTATTTGAGACTAAATATAGAACGCGGAGTGCTGAATTGTGCTTATTTGATTTCAGTTCAACAAAGTAAAAGAGCCGTAAGGTCCTTAAAGATGTGGGTTGGATTGAATGATTTGCTTCTGATTTGTTTTGTTTTTTTATTCTGAAAAAAGGTGAATTCTTGTAATTTACTTTTTTTGTCAACAAAAGGATGCTGTACCAAGGATTAGAACCCCTATATATTGTATATATAGAGAGATTATTTTTTTTACTGACGCACAAGTAGATTTTCTCAGCATCAGGAAAGGCACACACAACTATGATAACTTAATAAAATATCACTGAAGACTAAGACGGGAGACCAGCAGCAGAGAATAATCATCCTAATGCATGTCCTGGCTAAGATGCATGAGAAATGAAACAAGATGTACGTAATCAACTGCTTCGTTCATTTTAGGAGGCTATTTTAATACGTTTTGTTAAATGTCTATTGGTCTTCTTCCCCAGTGCATAAATAGCTTGCTTTTTTTCCTGCATCAAGCTCCATGGTAGATCCGCCTGCTGCTTTGAATGTGCTACATCTCCAGCAGAACTTGAACCGAGCAACTACAAAACATCATTATTCTTTTGGTTTTGAGTGTCACAACATGATGTCACTTCTTGTCAGAAGAGAATTTCCTGCCTTTGTGTAGGAAGTAAATAACTCTGAAGCTCCTGTTCTGAGCTTTGAGTATTTTTAGACTCAGTCAAACTTTCGAGTGGTTCTGAGATGCTTGATATGCTAATTTGATTCCTGGACTTTAATATCTAAGAAAAACAAGCCAAGACAACTATCTCAAATGAAGGTTGTGAATGTTTGTAGAAAACAGTCCTTTTGTGAATTTATAGGACATGAGTGTATTTTTAGTGTTTATTTTACTCTTGTCTAAACAAAGTATTGGAGTATTATGGCTCAAGGTGGGAACCACCAACCCTATGATTAATAGCCAGCCTGTTCTATCACCACAGTTTATGAGCCACCAGCGAGTCAAAGAACGCCATTGTTCATATTGGTTCAAGGTGTGGATTCATAGAGTAGAGCAAACTCTGAACTCTGAGTCAGCATGACTGTACAATAAACGATTGACAGCCTACTCAAAGACATGAATCCTCCAGACTGGACAAACACAACACTCCCTGTAGGCGCTCTCAAGGATTTCTGCTTTAGAATTTTTAAACTGAACACACATGATTAATGTGCATGACAAATTCCTTTCAACTACAACGTATTCAAATACATATGAATCCATTTAAAAGTAAAGCTCTGGGTTCCTCCATTCATGAAGTTAGAGTGGGGCGATGGTAATAAGTCTAAAAAACAGAGGGCTTTTCTTTAACATAATTAATCTCTGAAACATGTCTCTATATTGTGAAGAGAAAGGCTTGAAAACGAGACTCAATTTTCCCCTAATACAGTTTCTGATGTCCAATTACATGACGATTGATCAGAGTAAAAAGGCCAAGTTGTCACAGTGACAACTGAGATGTAAAAGGAGAACGTCGCAGGAAGTGTTGTTCCAATAAGGTAAATGAACGGGTTTGATTATGGACGCCAAGAGAGCAGGGCTGCTGTTACATCCTCAGCTTTAGTTACTCGTTTCTGGGGATCAGTAGTCATGGCACCAGGTCAGGACTGACCTAAATATGGCGACCGCCCCACCAGTCAGTTTGCACGAACAGAGACTGTGTGCGTTTCTAATCAGGGAACAACTGAGCTTAACGAGAGACAAATAAGAGCGAGAGAACATCTGTACAGGCACATTGAAGGAGTAAGACAAAATACCAAGATGTATGCCTGACTTTTTCCTCTGTAAGAGTCCTTCACAGACTTTGCAGCGGGAGTCCTCACATCACATTCCAAAGCCTCAAAGCAGCCTCAATCAATTCCACACACTCGCCCACTTAGCCAGCTACCCAAGCTCTGTCGCTTTTTCGCATTTCCCCTGCAACCCGACTAAACAGTGCTTGGAAAGGGCACGGCGGGCCAGCGTTGCCCTTGTCGTCCCCCGATGCCCCCACAGAGGAGACACGGGGAGGCTGCTTGTCCAGCCGACCGACGGCTCAATTTCATTTTGAATGGCACGCAGCATCCAGGCTGTATGAAATGGAGCCTCATAATCAAATTGAAAAGCCTCAGTGCAGAACAGATTAAATGAAGGCAACTCTCTGCCTTGCTCCCCCTCTCTCTCTGTCTCTCTCCCCAGCCCGCTCAAATCTAATAGAAAATCCACATTCTTCAGTGTTGTGTGGGGCTTCTGTGCTGCAGTGTTAGAGGCTTATACACCCTAAAAATGGAATTGTGCATTAGAAAATCAAATGTGTTCAATTCTGCGTGTTTGTGAGTTTGTGTACGTGGGTGCCAGTCTGCTTAATTATGTGTGTGTTGCATGTGGGTGGGTGGGTGTATGTGTGCATATGTGTGCTAGTTGAATAAGCTGAGCCTCAGCCAGGCCCCGGATTAGGTCGAATATTGACGCAGACAGTGTGTAGTGACGAAACAAGCGCGAGGAGGAATTGTTTGAGAAGATCCACGTGTATGAGAGCGTGTAAAATTTGCGAATGCCGGGCGGATGCCGACAAGGCTGACAAGAAAGGAGGAACGCGAAAGAGAACGAGGAAGAGGGCAGAGCGGCAAAATTAGGCAGAAATTGAGGAAACATGAAAGATGGAGAGGGTGAAAGAGATAAATGAAAGAGAGGAAAGACCGCTCCCGGTGGGTGTCTCTGCCAGCCCCTGGAGTGATTGAGAGCTGCAGGCTACACTCTCCAGTTTGTCCCTGCACACTAGACACTGTCACATTTCTCTGACAGGCCAGCAGGCATCAGGGCTCCAACGTCCATCCCTGACCAGCATGTGGATCATTACTCAGCGCTGGTAGAGACGGAGGAAAACCTGTGGGCTGCAGGTCCACATTCATAAAAGAAAAGCCTCCATCACAGCTCTCTGTGTGCTGCAGTGATGGAAATAAACAATGTATATTTAATGCGAACACGTTGGAGCCTCTAATGCTCAAAAATGAGTGTCATAAGGGTACATATCATGTATCAGGGATAACAGCATGAATTAAAATGTGTCATCTTTATCAGTGTCTTAGACGAAATGCTATTTCCTTGCAGTCGTGGAAATGGTGAGCCTCTGCATGCCGAGTCTTATCACCCCATACTTCATGTCCTTATATCTCTGGAGGGATGTCTGCTGTTAAATAATGGCTGCTTCTGCCCCTCTGCAGGATAAGTCGAAGCTTTTGTAAGTGTTTCATGAAGACACGGCAGTCCTAGAGATTGCAGAGGGAGCCGACGTTCAAAGAGTTTTCACAGAATATTCTTGCGCCGACTTCACATGTTTTGTACAAACAAGCAAGCGTGGTGACAACGGCCCGATGAGCC